CCCCCCCCCCCCCCCGCCCTCCGCCCACCCGACAGACCTAGGCTCGGAGAGCCTCGCCCGCCCCGCTGCCCGTTCCCCTCTCAGACCCCGCTCGCCGTCTCGTCCCCCGCCCCTTGGTCCCCCCCTCTGCAGCCGGGACACGCCGCCGCCCCCTCTCTTACCCACACAGTGCATGAGCCGGTGCCGCCAGGAGTCGAGTTCTCGGCGGACTCCCCTGCGCTCCGCCGTGCAGCGAGGGCTCCGGCACTGGGAGGCGGCGGCAGGAGGAGCGGGAGCCGCGGCGGCCATTCCTTCTGTTCCCTTTTCCATCTGCCTCTGACCTCACGCCCGCTCATTTACATACGAGCGCGCGCTCCCCCGGCTCCTCTCCCTCCCCCCCCACCCCCCTTTGCCTCGTCGAGCGCGCGCCCGCGGCCCCTCTTCCCCCCCTTAGCATCCGGCGCGAGGAGCGCGCGCGCCGCCTGGCGGAGTGACTGACGCGCTTCCCCGCTCCCCGCGATTCTCCGCCCCGCCGCCCGCCCTGCCCGGGTCCCGGTTCTCCTTCACAGACCGCGGGCCGAGCCGACAACCGGACCGAGAACCCACAACCCTTCCCTCCCCACCACTGCCCCGCTGCCCATCTATTTCCCCCTGCCTACAGCTCCCGCAGGGCAGCGCGCCACCTGCTCGGGCCCGGCCAGGGAAGGCGGCAGCAAGGCACGCCGGGAGTTGTAGTTCGTTAGGGAGGGGAGCGGCACCGCCCCCGAGGTTCTCTCTGGGTGGGTAGCACAGCCAGCCTGCCAGCGCCCCACGCCTCACAGTGCCGGGCTTAGAACACCTCAAAAACCGGTGCGGATCTCGTCTGCATCGTATGGTTTGTCCTGGGCGCTGCTTACAGCGGGGCTCCTGGCTCAGGTGCCCCGCCGCCCCTTCCAGCCCCCCTCGCCCACGTCTGCTCCAGGGCTGCCGCCAGCTCTCTCTCCTTCCGCCCCTGCCACCACCCCACGGACGCGGCTGTCACATAGAGCTGTGCTTTCCGAGCCAGCTCGCCAGATTCACTCCGTAGGGAGATTTTCAAAGTTTTCTGAACTGCTGCCCGGTTAACCAGTCTGTTTTCAACGGCTTTGCTTTCAGTCCAGTTTTTATGGGGGTATTGGTCATACAGAGCCGGACAGGGAGGTTTGCTGGGGACTGGCATCACACAGCGTTATCTTCCGCCACCCCTTTGGAAAAGACTAGAGTGAAAGCTAGGAGCCAAATCAGTTCAGTATCTAGGAGCACGCCTGAGAAGGCTTACTATCAACCTATAAACTGAAGTCAGATTAAGGTAACTGCAAGAAAGTTAACACACAAACGTCAGATTGGATTACTTGGAGCGTTTGACAACCACTTGGACGGGCAGTTGTGCTGCTCTGCACAGTCACCCTCGTGTTGCTCCTCCAGCACAAGACACATATCCCTCTGCACCAGCCTAATGTGACAATCGCTACCCATGTCTTGCAAGAGAGCAATTAGCAGCATTTAATTCCCTAGACAGAAGAATCAAGATCTGCAGTTTTCTCAGATCCTGGTGTGTCTTTGAGTGCCTCCTCCTCCCCCATACTCTCCTTCTTATACCAGTCTTTGTAAGCAGTGTTACTTCAGCAAGAAATTATATTTTCTGTGCTTAATTGGAGGTTGCAATAGAAAACAGGATTTAATAAGGCCATAGAAAAGACAAGGTGCCAGTGCGTCCCCTTACTCCCCTTTATCGGCTGAAAGAGCAAAGCTGGAAAGAGCCAAATCACTATAACAAATTTTCTTGTTCTAGAGTAGCAGCAGCAATACTGTGTCAAAACTGCAGAAGAGCTTCAAGTTTGAACAACAAAGGGGAAGTTATTCCCCAGTCGTTCATCCCTCTACATATCTGTGTAGACTGTCAGAAGCAAGGCTGTGTAGGAGTGGAGCCCTTACCACCTTTTAGCGCAGCCTTTCAGGAGAATGGCAAGACTGGAAGTGCAGATGTGAAGGCAACCTGTTACTTCCTGTAACTTTTCATCTTGACATCCAGCAATAAATAAGCAGCAACTTACCAGTCTCCTTCTTCACCTCAGGTCTGTTGCAAGTACCTTGGGTCTCATACTGGCCTTCCAAACAGCAACAAAAATTTTCGCTCTTACCTCAAAGAAATGGCAAAACCCAAGGCAACTCAGAGAAGACAAAACCCACACAAACTAAAATGTAATCTTAGCTGGATAATGCATCAGTTTCAAACTAATAGTACCCTTCCTGTAAAATCTTTTTTTTTTTTTTTTTTTTTGTCATAAGACTGGTTAAAAACAAATCTGTCATGAATTGGCTTCTACTGCAAACGTTACCTGATAGATATTTCCATCTGAACATCATAAAGATGTTCTTTTTTTATGGGTGAAGGGCACATTCAGGGATTGCTTGTAGAGGTCCCTGAAGTTCAGTTTTGATTCCATTGGAACAAATAAAACTTTGGGAACAGATGGCAGATCACATAATATTTTTGTAAAGAAATTTCATAAAATAAACTTAGTCACTTCTGTAAAACAGCTAATTGAGCTTAATGAATTCAACACAGAAGAATTTTAAATGAATGGTGTTTAACTGAATCCCTGAGCTTATGTGACGTAAATCAGTCTCATAGGGACACAAATGTGCCACATCTGAAGAGTTTTATTTTGAGGTTTCTATGATTAAATAAAGAATAGGGAAGGAGCTACACCCCCCCTCTCGTTTTGTGAAATTAACATAGTTTTTTTGCAGTTTCAAGGTTTCTGCTGTTTGAGACACTTCTCCAGGCATGAATGGAGAGTAACGAAACTAAAAACCTTGGTGGGCAGATTTCAAAGAGAAGGAGGTGAAAAGGAGAAAGAAAGCACTTCCAACTGTATTTTTATAATTGCCTAGGTTTTGAACTCTTAGTCCTTCTGAAAATACAGCTTAGAAATCAGATATGTTGTAGAGACTAGTTTTGCACCACTCCCTCCCCTGGAGATGTTTTATTTTTCCAAACAAAACTGAACCAGGTATGCCAAGGATCCTGCTTCGTCAAACTTTCAGGGATACTGTTTTTACATTAATGGTATTGATTTTTCTTCTCTATGCAAATGACTTTCCAACTAAGAGATTACTTCTTATTTGGATTTGCACTTGATTTTATAGAAACATTTCCAGTTTTCTGAACAAGCGTTGGATCAAAACTCCAAGGCTGATTGAGGGCAGAAGCTGAAGCAGTGAGGGGTAGTTTCAATTTGGTTAATTTTAGCTGCCTGCCCTAGCTAATTTTTATGGGATCAGAGTGCCAGTTACTTAGAAATATAACTCCAAATGGCTCTGGAGACAAAGTCCAGTACAATTTTTTTTGAAGCTACAAGAATTATTACTGCTGTTCTTCCCGTATGTTTCATCTCATATTAATTTGGGGATAAAGAGTAATTAAAACAGGGATGCTTACAGTTTGATACCACAACCCCATCAAAATCTGACATTTTGAATTAATTTTTGAATTAATTTTTTTAACACATCAGGAAATTTAACTGTCTTATTTAAACATTGCAAAATTTTTCATCACCAAAACCTCTTTATAATTAGTCCCTAAAGGTGAAATTCACTCCTGTACAGACAGCTTTGTGTGGCTCTTTGTCATATAAGTACTGCTTTATGGAAACTGGGGGCAATGATGAAGTGTAATTAAAACAGTCTAACTTGTACTGTCAAAACCTTGTAGCTAGCCTTTTGCGGATGCAATCAGTGGCGAGCTCCTCTCTCACATGAATGCAATTTGTAAACCTTGAAATTATCAGCGTCTTGGTAAAACAGAAAGGGTTAAATGATGAATTGTGTGATAGATACATGAATGAGTATTGCAGATAATAATTGATACTTGAAAGATATACTTCAACAGAAAATAGATGGGTGGAAATAATGACACTAGAGGATACTTCACCATAAACACTGACATGATCATTCTTTTTTTTTCTTCAGCAGAGGCAGCTGGGCCAGCAGTTATAGTGCAGTACAGCAAGAATGCTGTGAGAGAGGGGCCAGCCAATTATCTATCACTTCCATATCTGTGGCAAGCAGTACAGCCCAGGTAAAAAGATCATCCCTAATCTAGAAGTTTAGACTTTGAATTTTCATGACAACCTCAATCACTGCAAAGATATACAAAAATATATTCATAATCTAATTATTGCTGATATTTGGGTTAGGGGTCCTATGAGTCTTGAAAGTTAAACTCCAAACATTTCTTTGAATTGTCATAAGTTCTAAATGAAAATGAAGGGAAACGAAGGGAAAATGAAAGAACAAACTCCAATAGGAACAACTGAAAAAATTTCCATTTCATGCACGAGTGGCAGAATGAGCTTTTTAACAGAGGAGAAAAGTCAGGCAACTTCAGCTCTCCTTATTGGCTTTTGGATCACCAAGAAGTACTTAGTATTCCAGGTTTACATATTTTATATCTCTATGCTCATATACAATTAAAAATAGTTTACAAATGGTGATGGGTGAATAGACTATAATTTAATATCAAATATCTTACAGATGAAGAAAGAAATTATCTGTTTACACCTGCAATTTCAGGATATGTAGAATATTGTGAGTAGGAAAGGATCCATATGGATCATTAAGTCCAACTCCTGGCCCTGCGCAGGAAAACTCCCAAAATCACATCACACATATCAGGTACATCTCAGTGTTTTAGTGTTCAATGTCTGTGTATTTCAGTAGAATATACAATTAAAAATACTGCTGTCTCCTAATTACAGGGTCTGCTTTTGTGATTCTCATTGGCATTAGCTGATTCCGCTGCCTGTATTTCTGTTCCTGTTATTGACCTAATTCTAAGTACATGAAATATGATTATTTCAGGCAGATGACCATTTTTTACAAGCATCTTTGTCCTTTGTAGAGGAAGGTAAAAAATGGGAATACGATTCTTGTGTTCTAGCAGTAATGCTCTTAAATCTGTGAGCATCTAACTAGGTGAAAAAAAGTTTGTATCTGAGCGGATGCACTCTTATCACATCATCTAATTAGCTTAGTGAAAAGCAAGCAGGCTTTCAAGAACACGAATATTCTTCATGTCCTGTCTACTTATATCAGTTAGTTTAGCTAAATAGAGATGTCACTTACATACATCAAACCAGCCTTGTTTGTAACTAGCATTATAATGAAACTCTTCAGTAAATGTTTATAAAATAGATGCACTTGGTTTTACGTGGGTAACTAAAACATGAATAGAGTTCTCCATTATATACCATTTTAGAATATACACAGAAATTTTCATAGGGTATTTTCAGGTCCTTGTTTATTGTTA